TTTTTGGGTTAGCAATAATAATATGCCCAACAGAATGATCGACGAAATTCAGTCCTAAATTCTATCAATACGAAATACCTTAATTCGTTTCATTGATTTTTATTAATTAATAAGTTAACCTTTTTCTAATTCTTACTTTGTAGGCTACTCTCTCTTTATTTTCTATCTGTTATTCATTTTAACTAGAGCAAACAATTTTATCTCACCACTTTTCTGTATAGTTCGCTTGTCGATTACTTCTTTGTTGTATATGCACAACATTTACTATATTATATACTCTTATATTTCTCTCCCATATAACTGCGTCGTTATAGCAACACGTTTTAATGGAAAAAAAGTTAATTTCTCTTATTTCCGTTAATCTGTAGTTAAGATATAGTACTTGTACTCTTCAAGTGAACAGAATTAGTATGATTATTAGCTAACTCTGTCTCTCCCTGTGTCTGTTTAAATTTTTGATGAAATGGGGATTAATGATGATAATCTTAGGCGCTTATATTGAACACTATTTGATAGCAAATATAATTTCATATATCTAATTTCAAATTCAAAAATATTTTAGCTTCTCTATTTCACAGTCGTTACATTGTCTTTATTTATAATGAGAATATAAAGTTAAAACATTGAAGAGCATATATATTAATTTAGATTAAATGACTTGACTGTTACTAACAATTTTTTCAATGTTCAACAGGTAAGTAGGTGTTCTGCATTCAGCAATTTCAGCTTGTTTTTCCATTCCTTAATAGATTAAAGTACCATCTTTATTAGGTCTTTTCGTTCTGAACCTTAACTATCATCATTTTCTTTCAAAGTTTACGTACACTGCTATTCTAATGGCAGAGAACTAAGGGTAAATCCTGTAGCATTAATAAAATTACACTACTTTTTGAAAAATGCACCTACATTAAAAATGTTGCGAGTAACTTTGTTGTTTTTATTTAGTTTACATTCTAAAATTAATACTGATGAAACTGGATTATTGCTATCTATTTGTGCATATAACTTACGAGTATGTCATATGCTGATATGTGCAAACTACCTGGTTGGAATTCATGCAGTGACTGGGACCAGTGATTTCAGTCACATGACTGTAGATCGGTTACAATACCTCAGATGCGCATTTCCTAATGATCCTGTTCTAATAGTTAAATTTTAATTTCTCTTAATTCATACCTTCTAAATTTGTTTCTTCAAAGCATATTATTACGGCTTCATTTGTCTCATTATCGTTGGTACTACATTATTTCAATTTATTTAATTTATATCTTGTTAGATTCATCTCATTTTACTAGTGTTATATAGTGTTACACTTTTGTCATATTTTACTCGGATTTCAATTGATTATTGACCGATTGTAACAGGCAGACAGCAACAACACAGAGCTTCGCACGTACGTACATCAGTTCAGGTTGCCATACCGCATTAGCACAGACACTCAGCTGTCAGATCACATCCAATAGTGGTAACGATAGTAGAAGTATTAGCAGGAATGGAGACGATTAGGGTTCGAAGACATGATTCGAGATAATTCAGAGAAAGATAGAGATGATGAGGAATTCAGAAGATTATAATTAAAAAGCACACAAAGAGTGGATGCACCTGCGCCATTACAAACGATTATGATTTTGTCAGCGTCTTCACCGAATAGAACTATGTCATCGGCATATTCTAGGTCAGTAAGCCATTTTCCTGGTAGAAGGTCCACTCCTGAAAATTCGGAAGACGATAATGTTATATCTTGGACCATGTCTATGATAAAATTAAACAAGAATGGAGAGAGTGGACAGCCCTGATGGACACTACTTAAAGTAAAGAATTCCGATGACAGTTCGCCATAAGCTGTAACTCGACGTGTAGTTTTCGAGTAAAGAGCTTTTATAAGGTTAATTTACTTCTCTGGTACATCCTTCAATGACAGACGCTGCCACAGAACATCACAATCAATAGAGTTGAATGCCGCTTTTAGGTCGGGAAATATTACTATTGTGGGAGTGTGAACGTGTGTGTATGTTCTAGGACCTGACGTAGTTTGAAAATGTGGTCTATGCAGCCACGTCCAGGTCTGAAACCAGTCTGCTTTTCTCTAGTTTTTCCTTCTCACGCTTTCGTTAAGCGTCGGTGTTATATTGAGGTCAATATTGTAGATACAAATTAGTTAGGCTGATTCCTCTCTGATTATCACAAGAGGACTCGCTTCGTTTGCATTAGCGGTGCGGGGTGATAAAGGAATGTGAGAAGAGTTAGTCTTGGAAATAAGAGAGATGTTAGGAGGTTTAGGAAGGATTTGTTTCTGACCAATTCTTTCTCTTTTGCTGTTACGTATATGAGGGCGGATGTCACTTCCTGGCTGCCCATACCGTGTAAGGGTGTTTCTTGAGGGACCTGAAAAGGAAGGTAGATTAGAGTTGGTCTTAACGACCTAGGAGCGTGACCGTAGAGCTCAAGGGACAACTGCCTGAGGCCGGTCACGTACGGACTTTTTATATAGGACTTTTTGAGTATTGGCTCCGCTCTTAAAAGCCCTAAGTGTGCACCCTTACCGCCAGAGACGGAAATCCGTGAGGTAGAGCGAGGTGTGACATTTTTAGGGTCGACATTTTCGAACCCTTCCTTCCTCATGAGAAGCAGCATCGCTGCAGATGCTGGTTGTCCGAGGGAAACACCTTACTGCTGTCACACCCCTCTGCAGTCAGCAGTACGACTTCGCCCCCAGACCTTGAGTAGCTGCTTTTAGTCTCATCGTTCTCCAATCGACCTGCCTGGCATGGTATGACCTGCAGGAACATGAGTTCCAGCCAATATCGCTCGGTCGGGTCGTCACGATAGGCAAGCCAGACCACCACGTCAAGGTAGCATCTAAGGTCGGGGACTGATTATGAATTCACTAGTTAGTGTGATTGGACGAAAGTATTAACTTATTTGTCATTTGATGACAATCTTTATCGAATATATTTTGTATGTTAGAAGCTAATTTAGTGTGATATAATGTTTATCCTGGTAGTAAATAGATAGCTCAATTCTTTGTTTACAGTATTGATATTTTATGAAGAAAGTGTAAATATTTATGCCTATTAGGTAGTAATGTATATTATATTCTTGACCATCCTTATCAAGCTATACATTAATCACTGATTTTTTTCTAGATATAATCCAATAGTTTCACGTTATTCAACCTATCGCGTTTTAGTATTTTCAATAAATACTATTTTCTTATTTTAGGTTCTGCTTTATATTTTTGTTGTCATTTACCTAGACAGTTATTGGAACCTGACATGAAATGTAAAAAGTGTGTACATCGATTCAACTTGGCATACCCCAATAATACAGTGAAATGGGATTATGAGGTCAAATCCCAAAGTAATAGTTATAGTAACAGTAGTAATAGTAAGAGAAAGGATAAAGCGTCCGAAGTTTAATTCAAGATTTTCTTACGGTTAACAACATTAATTTTCATGTGCCTGTTTATTTCCACCAAATTATTGGTGAAGAAAACATCAATCTTTGTAAATATATAAATGTTCTTAGTTGTCGAAATACTATGATGGCATGTAATCAACCACTAACATTTTTATGTCATAAAATTACTGTTTCAACATAATTTTCAACTTAGTTGCTGTAAAGTTTACGTGTGATATTTAAAATTGACATTTTCTTTATCCAAACTGTAATGCAGATCGGTTAGCAGACAGGTTTGGCTAGCTTGCTGAAAAGCCTTAGTACTGACAACTGAATTAACGTTTGCCATTTATTAGTGTGAATAAGTGCTAATTCTTTTTGTGATGCGTGGTTTCCAATTTTAGTACTAATGCAGTCTTAATATATATGAACCCTACCACCTGTTCAAGAAAAAGATAGAATGAAAAGGAAATCTGTTAAATAAACTAAGTCAATAGTGTTTGTATACTCATTCGTAATCAGATTATAAAATCAAACTCCAATTAGTCTATCGTTTAGAAATGCAAGTCTTTTCCTAGATCGATCGCGTGCAATTATCGTTTGATTGATGTCTGACTGGCCCAATATATCATCTTTCATCTGTCAATTTTTGTAAATTATGTCCTCATATTCTGCTGTATAATGATGAATAGACCAGGACATTTTTGTATTTGGCATTCTACTTCACTAGGTTTTAATAATGGTCACTTGTCAAATTACAACACTGAATTAATTCTTTTTTTATTACCTACGTTATACCTAAACATTAATTATGTCTGTAGCTGTCAAATATGAAATGTGTCATCAGTTGAATTACTCTGAACAATTCACTCAGTGGGAATTGTGTCTCTGACTATGAGCATCACCGTGTAATTCAAGAAAAAGGTGTCATTAACACTGATCAGCTAATAACCTGTCTACGATTAACTTCATGTGCCAGGAACGATACCCCTAACACACAATATCTGTCATTCCCTTGATACCATTCTATACTAAAATCGGCTTGTTGAAATTAGTTATCATTTCTGATATTTTGATTTGTATTCATGGTCTCATGAGAAAGAGACTCACCATATCTTTGTGAATCAACAAAACCATCCTTAGCCAATAGTGAAATGATCATTTCAGGTTCTTCCGAAATTCTAGTTCAGTGTCAAATAAGAATACAACATTTTGTATGGCGAATACCTGTAGATCAAAATATCTATATTGGCTAAGTAAGTTCAGGTACCTAGACGTTTCTGATTAATATTGTTATTGAGTAGAACCTTTGGATAGATGAGCTTTGATCGTTCCACATCTACATCGAGTTTTCGGGTAAGACCAGTAAAAATATGTTCCAAACTGAGCGGTATTAACTTACGTGTCTAAAGATTTGAATAGATCGACCACGAATTTAAACTCTTAGTGATGTAATTTGGTTTATCTTAAAGCTCATTTCGCCTACCAGAAAAGATTTTCTAGATAGTTTTGTTATTATCACTGTGTCTAGACGTTTTCATTTCGTGATCAAACACTTTGTACAGTCTAAATAATTAAAATTAACGTTGTTTGAATTTTAGAGATACCAGTTACTCCTGCCCGTACTATTTTCACTCAGTCTCCCTTCCCAACTCGTGGTATTATACCGAGAAAAAATAGATCATAATTCCAGTCAAACAGGATTGTTCGTCTGATTCATTGCTCAACATTCAGTGATCCATTACCGTAAATAACTACTAGATCAAACATCAAGCCTATACACATCATTCGCTTAAAACAGTTTCAGATTCATACTTATTTTCATTGACAATGTAGATATATGCCTTTCGTTTTGTACTGTGTGAAATAAGTTTCGCTTATCACTAAAAATAATGTTTGATCTTTTTTGAGCAGTGTATTGTTTCATTATACATTTTAAACGATATCATTCTATTTAATTACTGTTTCCTTTTCCTTCTGTGTCGTCTTAACGTGAAGAACAATTTAAATGTTACTGATCATAAGTATTTGATTGTTTTTTATGTTATTTTTCGGAATACCTGTCTAGGATGCTTATGGCATAATCCCACTCAGTCATTAGCGTTATATCTTAGCAAATTACTGGGTTGTTCTAAGATGGTCTGCTGTGCATTCGTGGAGTATTATCTCTTCTAAATAAGAATGTTTGGCGACTCAGTCCAATGTCGTGGTTTGATCGCACGCAGTAGCAACTACGTGTGATTAGTGTCGACGAAACGTGTTTAGTTACAGTAAGTGCGTTAATCTCATATGCGTGTTGTCATAGAGATTTCCATGGTGACAGTTGTTTGGCAACTCCATGACTGATCGATTATACATTTGATGGGTTACATTGCTTTAATAATCGCCACTGTTATGAGTCACTCACATGTTCTCAAGGCTTTTATGTCGATTATTTGTAATGATTTTTTGAGTTACTAACTCTAACAGACAAGATTAGAAAGTGTTAGACTTTATTTTCCGACAACGATCACAAATAACTCATCTTTATAGAGACCCCAGCACTCCACGGACAGTTGCCAACATCCTGCTGCCACCTACAACCTTCAAAACTATAGTACTACAATAAACTCAGGTCGGTGACAAAGTCTTCATTAGATCAGGGAGTGGCTGATTGTTACGCATGCATGTATACACGTCGCTTGATATGCTTGAACTACTACGAGTTTACCTTAGTCGGAAAACGAGAGCGAGGATCCGGCGACACGACATGCTATTCTAATCCAAGTGTCCTAACCCCCCATTGATGAGAATAAGAAGACTTGATATAAAGCAGAACATGTATTCCACAGGCATCCAGTAAGTACGAGGTCCGAGTCCAAAAGAATATAAGGGCCTGGATCATAAAACGTTACAGATAATGCGTATTTATGCAGTTAGGTCGAATAGGAAACAGCATTGAAGTCTGTGACACTGATATAGACTTACAAACAGCATCTTAGGATATTGGATGAATATCCTAACACTGATGCGCCACTGAATTCTGATTTTACTGTCGATAGCTGCTCCTTGCTTTATTGTAAAAGAAGTTGAGATCTATTCAATTTACTTACGGTATATTCGGTAAGAAAATGTCATCTTCATAGTTATTAACTGAACAGCAAATAAGTATCCGAGAAATATCTTCACAGTCTCTTAAAATTCTAAAGTCAGACCACTTTCCAGTATATGATACTCAACAGTTTGTACCTATCACACTGCAAGAATCTAAAGTAAATTTACAGTCGCTCTATCGCCAAGTAAAGAAGAATCGATCTGTCGTGATTTTTACTACATTAACTTCACAGTATTAACAGTGCTTTAAGGAAATTAGTTTCATACATAACACATAGGAGTAAACTTCGGCGATGTTGAATTTCTCTTGCTATTAGCTGAAACCTATGGTACCACTCATGCATAATATTTCGAACCTGCAAATCATTGTCACTATCAAGCGAAGTGGGCGCGTTTACACGACTCACTGGCCTTAATGTAAAACAACCTACAGTATCGTTCTACGTCGGTCTGTTGTATTTCTAACAGTTGGTCGGTCCATTGGCCGCTTCAAACCTTTTGAACTACTTTTTCGCTGGTAAGCGATAGATTAATCACTTAACGAACCAACTTAAAATATCCCAGTTGAGACGACACTGCGCATAAAAAGAAATGAAGTTCTAATTTGACATCTTATTAACTGTTTCATTTCCGCGGTGCAAAACAGAAATGATATGTACAACAGTATGTCACCCTAGTTTTAGTAGAAGAGGGGTGCTTTCACATACACCAAACTTTCACTCACTATTACTCTTATAAGTAATCAGTGACCATATGAACATCTTTGTAGTTATCATTGGAATCAGATTAGTAGTGAGGAAGAAGGTTGCGTGGCGCTATTCAAGACCGTTGCTCACTATGATTCTATTACGGTTAGCTGAAAGGAAGTGCACCGGTAGATTCTTCATGAGTCATAATTCTATTCTATATATCAATCCCTTAAGATTTCTTTCTACTAAGTTCTGTTCTCAAGAAACATTCTAAAGGAACTTTTATGTGGAATCTTTCTGTCTATCCACCTAAGTTATCGTTTGGGTAATTTTCAAAAATATTTTCGTTCGATCCACAGACGGCACTCTTAACCCTTCTCCAATCAATTTAGTAATATTTTTTGCATCGATACTGGATGTTAACCAGTTCCAACCTCATTTGGATTGCATTCGACTACTGATAGGGTCTCACATAATTATCTTTATTTCTTGTTTATCACTGTTTCTATTCGTAATGGCAATGTAAAGCTGTTTAATAGTTCCAAGATGACCGTATTTACGTAATCGAACCGTATTTTACACATTAACGATCTCACCTATTTATTAATCTATAACTAGCTATGCCCGATTAGTCGTAGGGATTTATCAAAACTGGCCATATAATAACTTTTATTTTAACCTCGATTATTTGAAAAGGCATGAGTCTTCTGTGGTTGAATATATCGTTATAATTTTCAGTTACATGAGCATATCAAAAATCATCTTCAGGCAGCAATAAAAGGTTAACCTTCATGAACTCCAGCTTGCGTCATCAGATCTGCAACATTTTTCTCCAGTGAATCAATCTTTGATCCCATTTCTTCAAGTAGAAAACGGTGGTCAAGGAAAAATATCAATCATTAACGAACTGGTGAAGTGCGCCCGTCGGTTCAACTTATCATACTTTACAACCATATAAGAATAAATTAATCTAGTAGGAGAAAATACGGCTTGGTTGGACTGATACTCTTGTATGTTCTTGTAAGATATCACGTAAAAAGGTGAGGGATCCTTTATTTGATTTATCACGATAAACTTAACCAATATTCTAAAACTTTGCATCAAAAAGCTCGGAATCGTTGTTTGAATATGAACGCATTCCTTTTTTTCCTGTCTCTTAGACGCACTGTTATTATGTACTTACCAAACCCATTTCATTTGTCTCTTAGCTTATCTTTTACTACGACTGGCATTATTTGTTAATTCTTCGTTTGAGATCTTTGTTATTGTGTAGATTACTTAGCGGAAGATAAAAATAAGTAGGTTGTTATATAATAATGAATCAGTTCAAGTTACTCGTAGTTCTTTAGCAGAAATCAGAAACATAACACTAATATGTAAAGGTAGTGTTTGCAAAAATACTTGACTAGTAATAGCTTGTAATAAGCTTTTGTGTGCGTACTATGCGCTTAGACCTCTAGATTTTTAGACTCCAAAATTTGCTGTTTGCAATATTCCTACTCGTATGAGATAAACTTGATTACTTGTAATGGACAATAGATGGTTTTTCAGTCAATCTAATTTATAATACTCGGAAACTCTTTATTACCACTTCTCATTTGTTTGAAGTTTCGTATATTTTCTTTTTGTCCAACTGATTCAAGGTATAAACTGAATCTGTTTACATATAAACCAGGTTCTACTTTGTATAGGTATGACCTGTTTTCATAAACAGGTGCATAAAATGAGTTTTCTAGTCTCATATTTTTATTAGCAAACCCGTTATTGTACTGATTAAAATGAGGCTTACCTGTTAGGTTAGATCAGTAATAAGAAATTATGACATACATGGAAATAGTCACCACTAAATGATCGATAAACTGTAATGCAGATACGAGCAACGAAACAGGTGATAAGGTCGAAGAACGAACAGTACGAAGATAGATTCCAGCACTTAGGATTATTACAGGAGAATCAAACGCGATCGGATTATGGCGTAAAACATAGTAAGCATGCCAAATCATACTAACATGAGTATCTTACAGAAGCATCATCACCATATCCTTCGATGTAATCCTCGAAAAATTGCTCATCAAAGAACGAACACTCAGGTTCGTGTACACTTAATCATAACACGAGTCGTTGCACCTTGGAATGCTCTCTTAGCAGAGGTGACCACAGCCCCCTCTGTGGATAGCTTCAGGGGACTTGATAACCACGTACACACATACCGATTATCATCTCTTTCTAGGACGTGCTGCGCCTGATGCATGTCTTGAGACTTGCTAGTTGTTATCATTTCCATCTCAGATAATCAACCTAATCTATCCTTCTTAGTATCGCTGCAACCTCTCCCTCGCTAATACACCGGTTGTCTCGCTCAATCTTCACTACCGATTAGTTAACTTATTTATCCACTTATTTACCGAATTTCTGAAATCTTCTGATTAGCATTAGAATTTTCTCCACATTGCAACTGACTGATTACTGACCTAGTAACGTGATAGCTTTTTGTATTAGGAAATCCTACTGGCCTGAAATAATCGTACTCATTCAAATCAGGGAATATACAAATTCACAAACAACTGACTAGAATTAGTGTCGTCGACTGGCTAGACCACCACCGACTGTAAACTACTAAATACTTGGAACCTAACCGAAAGAGCAAGGATCAAGCGCGAAGAGATCAATCGGTTTATACTGGTTCGTGAAAAAGATAGTGGATCTCGTTCCCACAAAGGGTCATTCGCAACCCGATTGGTAATTTCTCTCAATGTAAAACTTAGTGACACTGGATCGAATCCACCAGGTAGCACTGTCTTTATGATTCCCGTTACACAAATTGACGAGTGTGAAATAGCCTGGAACCTAGGTACTGAGTTTACTCATGAAAACCAACTACCAATTTACGTTATCTACAGTGTGATATACCTCGCAGCAAGCTTATATTTGTGAAAAAACCGAAGGTTATTTAGTTCTAGAGTCTTTTTTCCTACTTCTCTGAAAATTTCTATTTCAGTTAGCTCAAAGTTAATCAATGTTTCCACGAAGTTGAGATATATCACTTCAATATAGGTGAACAACTCTGATCAACTACAGAATCAATACTTACTTTGAAACGGCTAAAATATTTTAATATTACTCAAAGTTATGTCAAAAACTTTGGTTTTGATAAA